ACTGATGAAGGCTTAAACATTAGCCGAAACGTCTGTTTCAGAAATAACAACAGTCAGAGGCAAGCAATTTTCATAAAACTTTGAAAACAGCGATATATTTTTTTTTATCCTGAGCGCGAAACAAGAGATACGAAGCAATATCACTCAGTCTCCTTTTCAACTCGCAACTCCACGCTAAGTACATCGCTTCGTTAACTAATCAGAATGCGAGATTTTATTCAAATGTTTGATTCTATAGGAAAATTCATTACTTGACGAGGGAATTCCGCATTAAATTTCACGCGAAAACCGATATTGCACGAATCGCGAAGCGATGAGTGCGACATCGGTTTTCAAGTGCAATTTAATGCTGAATTCACGAGTGAGGTAATGGATTTTCCTTGAATCGCATAACTGAATAAAAATGAGAAAAGAAAGGAAACAGCATCACTTAAAATTGTTCTGTTTAGGTAGATGCGAAGCAATATCACTTAGTCTCCTTTTCAACTCGCAATTCTACGCTAAATACATCGCTTCGTTAACCAATCAGAAAGCGAGATTTTATTCAAATGTTTGATTCTATTAAAAGGTGCTTGGTTCAGATTATCCTTTCCTAGTCCTATGCACTGTATTCAGTGGAAAAGGACGAGAGGCGACTTCAGAATAGGATCTACAAATATGTTTGTTTACATATCGGCATCGGTGAATCTCAGCGGCGATGGTTGTCATAAATATTTCAGCATGATGAAGGCCTTGGAGGGCGCTCAGTGAAACTCCATGTACTGTTTGAAATTGTTAACATTAGTACATCTGATTGTTGAGAGACAATTAATCTGAATGAGAAACACACCTAGAAGCAACTAGGCATGCGCAGCGTTGGTTCCTTGGAAGTGGCTGCTGTGGACAGCTGTTTCGCTCTTTTTAGAGCTCATCAGCACTGCATACAACCTCAGATGAAAGACATGTAATGTAAGGGGTTAAAGTCTTTTTAAACCCCAACCACCACATTACCAATGTGGGACCTGCTGCGATGCTAGCATGACGTAAGAAAAAGAAAAGTGCCTTCAACAGTACATCTAGAGATATTGGTTGCATCCATCTCGGTCATCAATGGATACCTAGGGACCCAATAACTCCGTCATCTGTATCTGTCTCCAACATGCAGAAGACATTTGGTGGCTGGGGTTTAAAAAGAATTTAGCCTACCTTGGAAGTTATGACCTCTCATTACAAAGAACTTGTGTCTTTCATGAAAAGTTGGCTATGCAGTGCTGACGAGCTCTAAATAAAGCGAAACAGCTGTCCACTGCTGCCGCTTCCAAGGAACCAACCCTGCGCATGCGTAGTTGTTTCTAGAAACATACCTAAACGAAGGAAATAACACGGTTGCTATTGTTGCAAGGTAATTTTGGTAACAACTGAGTTGATAATGTAGATCGGCCACCGTAAGGAGTCTCAAAGCTGATGTTCCAAGCCGGCGTTATCCCTTTGTCAGAGTGAATGGAGGAATTGTGGGTTGTGTGTGCGTTTATATGCAGAAAATGGAGCTACGCTATCGGTGGGAACATG